TAATAATAATAATAATAAATGAATTAATTAAATTACAAAGAGATAGAGACAAGGAAAAGCAAGAATATAAAATAAAAATTACAGGGAACTTGTTAACAAAGTAAGTAGAAATTTGATTTAAGTTGAAATAAAGTCTACGACCGAGATAAAGGTTAAAGGCTTCTACAGTTCTCACTAGGATTTTTTATTCCTCTGAGATTAATAGGTGCTTCAACGTAAACGTCCTCAGTCTGCAAAAGAGATAACGCGTAAGTGTAGTGATCTTATTTCGGTAAATCTTGTAATATGTTGTCAGCCGAAATAAACAAAGAATTTTTTTTTACTTTAATCGTCTTTCTAATCCCACTTGTTATCCATTGCTTGGAAAATTGTTCCAGCTCACGTTTAGAGAACACTTTTAAGGGTGCATTGTTATTTACAAGACTATTTAATGTGTTGTAAAATTTGGAGAATGCAATGTCAGCATGTTGTATTGGGCTAAACGTATTTTCATTATTAAGCAACTGAGAAAGTTCATCGCTAAATGAACTTTCGGAAAACTCCGAAAAATCCCTTCTTACTTTTTTGTTGTTGAATTTTTTAGTCTTAGAATGTGAAGTACAAAACTGGGAGCAATGGTCACTTACATCAGAGCAATGTTACTACTAAAAACACCGAAATCGCATTTGTTAATCAAGATATTCTTAATTAAGGTGGCTGAGTCACTGTATACTCGAGTGGGTTTGTTAATGCTGGTTGGAATAAAAGAGAAAACTTAACAGAGAAATCAAAAAATCTTGAGCATATCGACAGGTTTCAGCCTTAAGATATTTCCCTCTAAAATAACTTAGCCTTTCCCTCAAAAGTCACACGAATGTGCGCTTAAGTTAACTGATTTGTGGATTAAAAGTTTATTGTTTGATTTAAATTATAAACTATTAATTGAAGCTTCGCTTTTAGCCCTGGCTAAGTCTATATATTACTGAAGATATGAACAAGAGTATAAACACCTCGAGGCAAGGTTCATCACTGTAACTTACCACATAAAAGTCATTTCGTTTTCAAGTGCTGTTTGCCATCGACTGATTCTGTTCTGAATACTTAACTCAAACAGAATTGAGCGTCCAATAACTAACGCCACGTTTTCTAGGAAAAGACCCTCCCTTTTCAAGCCAAGAAAAAACCAAAAAGAAATTTTACCAAAGAACATAAGCCGTTAAAAAGCACACAAATGGCTCATAAAAACACAAACGCCTAGGGACCTTATGCTCTAATTACTTCTTTCAAAGAAGTTATTAAACATAAATGATATCAGAAATGCGCTACACAAACATAAACATAAACACATGAAAGCGATGCGACCGGTGGAATAGTTATTGAAGTTTCACTTGAAAAAATACCATATGCCCCACGCCTTGCAACTTCTACGAGAACTTTTTTTGGTCAAGTTCATTTTGGTATTCTGAAGACTAAGATCCCAGTTACAACAAACCGCCTAATTGTTTCCATGTAAATAAAAAATTTGCTGCATACTATCTTAATCACCATAAGTTGCTGATATGGAAAAAATATTTAATCAATAACAATTATTCAGCGAAGTGGAGGTGGTTATTGACCAAGCCGCGAATAGCACACACTAAAACGGTGAGATGATGGAGCTCAAAAATGGTGATTTTTTAAATCATTTACTGAGGCCAACAATTACAATTTCGGCAAGCAAATGACCAAACGGCTGTCGCGTTTTCTTGTCGACCAATAAAACTTTTGAAGGCATTTGTTTCGCTCTTGCGGGGAAAATTTTTCAAAAGGATTTGTGAATCTTTTTTGTATTCAAAACCATTCTGTATTCTGTAAAAAAAAAAAAACTATTTAATCTATGTTTAAGCTTACTTATGAACATGTCAGCTAACTAAAGTAACGCAAGACCTAATTTGCATTTGTAAACAAAAAGCTTTATCACCGGTTTTAAATTCAAGTCAAACAGACAAAGCTTTACCTGTATAAAATTCCAAACCAAATTTCGTCACCTTCTTCGTGTATTTCGGTAACAGCTTGTTTGATTATTTGTGAAATATCTTTGTTTGTTACGGCAGCAAACCGCGGGAATCCTTTTTGCTCGTAGCGAGTTTGGCGTCGCTCGCTCGGAGGAACTGGAGGTGAATCAGTGAATAGCACTGGATAGCCGTAGGTTGAGTAGCCAATCAGAGCGCGCGAAAAACGCTATCCACTGGTTTAGTATATACTAAAGGCAGTTAACATAATACTGCAATGCGACACTGCATCTGGAAAGAAAACAAACAAAAGTGGCCCCAACATTGAGCCCCGGGGGCACATCAGAGCGCAGAGCACAGGGATCGGAGAAAAAGGACTGGTGCCCCACTACTTGAGTTTTATTACTGAGGTAGTCCTTAAACCAGACTAACTCAGTAGCTCCCATGCCACATCCGCACAGCTTTTCCAAGAGTAACTCATTATCAACCGTGTCAAACGCGTTCCTCAAGTGTATAAATACTGCCCTTGTCAGACATCCCTGGTCCATATTTCGGCTAATAGTCTCGATAAAAGAGATTTTTCGGCAGATTCAGTCCAATGACCTCTACAAAAGCCACAATGAAAAGGGGTCCATTGCTCCATTCAATCTTACCACATGAACACATATTTTAATATTCTTCGCCTTGTCACTTTTTTTTTTTCACGTTTTTGTTTTTCACTTTCACGTTCAAATTGTAGAGAGGTTTTATTCATATTTCCAGCCAGATAATGTCATGTTTCATTCTGAATCAGTTCTCTCTGTATTTTTACATAAAAGGTATCAGAGTGATAGCTATCCCGTGACTAACCGGCTTTATTGGCTGCTAATACAACGATTTGCTTTATCAACAGAGTTGATAAGGTAGAATGGCCACCCTAGGGAGATAGATAAGCTGATCGTCAGAGGAAAACGTCAGCTTCTCAATGTCCATACGGTCGTCAATCTATCTCATCAACTCACTTTAAAAAACCAAAACCGACTGTCATCGCCTTAAGTATTTAGAATTTGGCTATTTATTTGAAAGCAGATTGAAAAAGGCCAAGGAATGATGGTGCGTTTGGTGATAAACAGTTTCCAGACGTTTTTCTTATTGTTCTTTTCTGTTACAGTTGCTGTTCATCCAATTTCAGTCCATGTTTCTGGTGGTCAAGGTTCTGCAGTTGGTATACGAGTCTTTTAGAGCGCTTCTTTGGTTTTTCCGGGGAAAGAATCGCAAAGCATCCGTTAATCGTCATCTCTCTCTGTCTTGCCCTCGTTGCCATATTTTCCGTGGGTTTTGTCTGGTTCCAGGCAGAGAACAGAACGGTGAAACTCTTTATTCCACAAAGCAGCCGAGCCATTGACGATTTAAAAAAAGCCGATAAATACTTCAGAGTAAAAGTTCGTCAAGAAATCATCCTTTTAGTGGCATCTTCTGATCATCCCAATGTTCTTTCCCCTGATTGTCTGCGGCAGGCTTTCAAGGCACATCGCGCGACTGGAGACTACTCTGAATTCTGTGTCACCCTCTCAGGAGAGAAAGCTCGTACGGAAGACGACTGCATGATTATTAACCCGCTGGAATTTTTGAAGTATAATGACAGTAATCTCAAGGGTAAAACCCTGGAACAGATTCAAAAAGACATAACCAAAGCGTACAACTCAAGCTCATTGATGCGGAATGGCCGTACCTTCTCATTCAACTTTAAACGCACTTTTGGCGGGGTCACTTGGCAAAATGGAACCATCACAGGGGCCAGAGCATTGCAAATGGTGTATCTAATGAATGACCCGACTGACGAAGAAGAAAATGAAAAAGTTCTCCAGTGGGAAAAGATGTTCATCGAGAAAATAGAGGCGTTAGTGGGCGCTCTTCCCTGCTTTGAAGTCCATTATTCAAGCGAGAGAAGCCTAGACGACGCTATTGCGGAAAGTAGTGGCTCTGACGTCAGCTTGGTGTCAATCACTTTCACTGTCATGATCACATTCGCCTGCTTTATGCTCGGCAAGTTCCTCAATCCGCTGACTGGTCACTCGTTGCTCGCTAACGCCGGAGTGTTTGCAGTGGCCCTTGGAATACTATCCGGGTTTGGTCTTGCCATGTGGTGTCGCGTTCCTTTCGTCAGTATGGTGGGCGTGTTACCTTTCTTAGTTCTCGGAATTGGAATCGATGACATGTTTATCATTGTGGATGAGCTTGATCGACAACCACGTGATATGTCAATAACAGAAAAAGTTAAGGCTGTGATGTCGCATTCAGGGGCCACTATTACCATGACAACCATGACTGATCTGGTGGCTTTCGCAGTTAGTACTTCTACCTCTTTTCCAGCGATAAGGTAAGTAGCATTTCTTGGTTCAGCATAAGGTAATAAATGAATAGTAAAACAGTTATAAGATTCGTCTTTCGCATGATCTGAAGAATTGTGCAGATCCCAGAGGATGTTATCCATCTCGGCCGCATAATTCTTCATATCAAGCTCAGCCTCAGCCAATAATTGCTAGTTAACTAGAGTGTTAAATTTAGCGGCCGCTTTTTTTGGTACACGGTTGTGAGAGTATTATTATTTTTTGTCAGGTATTTCTGTATCTATGCGGCTTTGACAGTGACCTTCTCCTACGTAATGATCATAACGTTTTTCGTGGCCATCATGACATACGACGTAAAGAGAATAAAATCTGGTCGACGAGACTTGTTACCATTCTGCCATGCCCATCCGCCGAAGGACGGTGCGCCAGCCTGGGACGAGCCAATACCTCAGTTATCGAATCGCGCTATGGAGGCCTGGGGCAGATTTCTTACCAATCCAGTGACAAAGATGGTTGTTGTCGTTTTATCGCTAGGCTTACTTGGCGCTGGAATATACGGAGTTACTAAAGTAGATGAAAAATTTGACAGAAGGATCTTGGCAAAGGATGATTCGTACTTGAGACGATTTTTGACTGCTGAAGAAAAAAATTTCGAACTGTCCGTTGAGGTCAGCATTGTAGAAACTGGAAAAATAAGTTATGAGAAATCGTCTTTACAGGAAGCTATCAAAAACCTAACAAACATTGTCAACAGCAACGAACATTACTTTGACCGTACTCTATCGTGGATGGACCATTTCTCAAAGTTTGCTAACATGTCTAACATCAGCACTACAGGACCAGCATTTTTGCCTGGGTTGAAAGCCTTCCTCAGACAGCCAGAGTTTTCATTTTTCCGTCAAGATTTGAAGTTTTCCCCTGATAACTCTACACTAGAAGCTTCGCGCATTCTCGGTTTCATGAAAAGCAACGGCGAGTCTACATTCCAAAAAAATGCTATGCAAACCCTTCGCGACGATCTTGAAACCAAGTCCGAACTCGGAGTCTTCCCTATTACACGAGCGTTTATTTTCTTTGAGCAGTATGCGATCACATCACGTGAAACTATACGGAACCTCATAATCGCTGCTGTAGCAGTCTTTGTCATCACCAGTCCCTTTTTGGTAGATTGCACAGTGGCAATTCTCGTGTTGTTCAATTTCGCCGCCTTGATATGCGAGCTGTTTGGATTAATGGTTATTTGGGATGTGTCGCTCAACGCTGTGTCCATGATAAATCTTGTTATGGCTATTGGCTTTGCAGTTGACTACAGCGCACACATTGCCCATGCGTACGTGATGTCCAAAAAGTTGTCAGCAAATGACCGAGTGGTGGATGCTCTGAAAACTCTGGGTGCTAGTGTACTCATGGGAGGTAAGTGAAAATGATTAATCATACAAAGAATATTAAATTCTGAGAGTCAGATTGGAGGCTACCTGACTATACAACTAACTACTGCATTACTGCACTTTCCTGCGTATTAATTTGCTGAAAATGTCCTGCGGAAAACCCTGGAAATGGCATTTCCGAGAATCTAAATTTAAGAATTTTCTGAGGGCATGCTCCCCAGACCCCCCTAGGTTGTGTCGCCTTCGGCGCTACAACTTTTCCTCCCAGTGTGCGCCCACCTTCAAAATCTCACGCTACGCCCATGACTAAAATACTTTTAACAATACTCCAGAACATAGAGTTTCAAGGACAGTTATCGTTTCATTGCAACCTAACTTGTGATCTTGTTCTAATTCTTATTCTAATCATATAATCTGCAAAGGGTATATCCCGTCACGGCAGATGGGCATATCCCATCAAGGCAAATTAATTTAGGCCATTTAGGCCTAAATTAATTTGAAATTAAAAGGATTCAATTCTAATCGTAATTATCTTATGGAAAATCAAGCAGTTGACAAGTATTTAAAGAACGACCACGGTCTAGAAACCAGAGACGACCTAAGCGGCAACTTCTCCTTACTAAAGAAGTGAAATGGAAAACTAGACTGTCTGATTTATGAAGTGCTTTTTATTCAGGAGAATAAACCAAGGTTAAACACACAATCAGATTCCATTCGGGCAAAATTGTTTAACATATTTTCAGCATTTTCATTTACACGTTCAAACATGTCACTTTTGTTCTCCAGGTTGGTTATGTCGCTACAAACTGCATACATGTATGTTTTTGTTTCAGTTTCTTGTTTTTTCTTCAGGTTTCAGTACCTTCCTTGGAATGATCGTACTTGCATTTGCTGCATCCGAGATATTCCGAATCTTTTTCCGAATGTTCCTTGGAATCGTTGGTTTTGGCCTTATTCACGGTCTGTGCATTTTGCCTGTTTATATGTCTTTGCTGTGTTGGGGGCCGACTGTTACCAGATCTCCCTCAGTGAGAGCGAGCGCGGAACGACTTAGTAGCGGAAGCCAGAAAGATGAGACTAGCCAAAATTTGCATCTGGCGGACATTGGTAGTGAAAACAGTCTTGCAGGTAATGACGCTTCTGTGAAGATGTCTGCAAGAAACCTGCAACGAGAAACCTCCCAATGAGGATACACCGAAAGAAACCACCATGATGGGAACTTCGAACAAAGGCTTGAAAATGGATGATGAAGAGTTGAATATTTCGTCAGAGGAAGGCAACGAAGCCACGCAGGAAACCAAGAATAATGAAGAGCAACACATAGTAACAACAGGTGAAAATTCCTCGAATAGAGGTGACATTGAAACAGTCTTCACAAAGTTATAATCTAAACACTAAGTGTACTTTTTATTTGTATTTTATTAGTTGAAAAGCAAATCTGGCAAGGCTTGAAGAGTCTTTTCGTTCGCAGTCTTTTGCGCGTGTTCGGGGAAGATATAAATATTTCGGGTTACTCTGTTTTTATATATTTTTTGAGGCCTAAGCCTAGAAACATCCAATCATTGGAAGTGTCTGCGATTTCTCGCACGCGAGAGGAACAGTTAACATGAAAATTAAGGTCGCTATTTACACATATTTTGCATTCAGGTAGCATGCAGTACAGCCTCCCTTTTCAAACATGTACCTATTACTCATCGAGTTTTTTGTGATCAAATTTAACGTCCAAGGGTGAAGCATTTGGTCTGTAAATAAGCAATTGAACCATAACTCCTAGCGGAACAAAGGAGGCCCCGTTCTTAGCGTGAGGAGGGAGTAAACGAAACTCGAAAAAAAAAACTTTATTTGAGTGTCATTGGTACACTAGAGCCTAAATAAGCTAAGAAATATTTCAAGACAAGTAAATAAAAATTTTAATTACTTCAAACAAAATAAAGCTTCACACACAGCCGATTCTTTTTTACTTCAGGTAACTTAAGGCCATTTTCCCACGCAACATAATTAAGATTGATTGACATGTTACGCCTTTCTCAAAGCTCAGGAAACCGCAAGTAACCGCAAGTCAGCTAAGTCGGTCATAAGGATGGTTTTCAAGTCGCTTGAACCTTTCTTGAACCGTTTCAACTTTCCGACTTTAATGAGAGGCAAAGTAAAGTTACTTGACATTTTGCTTAGGCATTCACACACGAATTTTTGGTTAAGTAAAACTTAGTAGCTCTTAAGTCTTGCTTAACAGCCTATTGTAAGGACAACGGTTGTATTTAACACGAAAGTAATGATAAGGTCCATCCGAGCCATGCGAAAGACTATCCGCTTACAGTACCTTCATTCCTCAGTTATTTTACTGTGCTTTTCAAGAACACGCGAGCCGATTTCCAGCTTTTTGTGATCTAATTTAACGCATTTAGCAAATGCGTTTTCGCTGCCATCAGTCATAATTACGATCACAAGCAACGACCCTTAGGCGCATTCTATTCAACCCAAAATTCCTGAAATTTCGGTTAGGTAGGACCGCAATATTTGAGACCACCTTTGAAGGTGGTCCACTTTGACCGGTCTGGTCATTTCGGTCGGTCGGACCGAAATGTCCTTGCATTTGACAAAATTGTTGTCCCCCCAGTACCGCTCTTTTGTATCCTGCTTACAAGAACAATAAGCAAACACGCGGTGGCTTGGGTCGGGTCCGTGCAACCGGAATGTACCGTTCCATTTGGCACGTGGAAAATCCGAAATTTCAAAGCCGAATTTTTGTTGGATAAAAAGCGCCACTTGAAACAGAAAAACACACTAAACAGATCGGAATCCACCAATCACAAATAACAAACTATGACCGTTTGAGCCTGTTGAAGTAGACGTCTGTTTCCTAAGGGGTCCGCTAATATTATTGAAGGCAGCAAAAAACGCAAAGGTCAGTTCACTTTTGAACTTCAGAATTTGCCTCCGGTCTTTGCGACCTCCCGCTCCGCAATCAAAGCGCTCTGCGGACTGAACTAATCCTGCCGCATACTCGGAGACCCAGGGACGGTCAGGCTGGCCTCTGACTGGGCACAGAAGATATTTTTGTGCTCAATCAGAGGAGGCTAGCTTCTATCGCGCTGCTTTCGTGATCTTCTACGAAGGAGTTTACCTCCAAACAACCGTTGGACTGTTCGTCGTATCTGTCAAAATTCTTGGTTGTTAAGTATTTCTCCACAGTGACACAAGAGGATCGAACGAAATTGGTAGAGAAAACTTGCAAAGTTTCATGAACACGCCTAGAAGTACTCTGGTGTTTACCGGAATTTACCGTCGATCATTACAAAATCTGATTTCTTCGATTGGAGTGTTTTTCCATTTTTTTTTTGTATTGTTTTGCTAACATGCAAAATTATGGGATTTCTTCGTTTTTTTTGGTCCCATTTTCGAGTTGTTGTTTAGAGGTAAACTCTTTCGTATAAGGAGATCACGAAAGCAGCGCGATAGAAGCTGGCCTCTGATTAAGCGCAAAAATGCTTTTTTTACTCAACCCAATCAGAGACAATTATCGAATGAGTCGACAAACTAGGTCGATAAGAGTCGCATCCCAGGGGCTCTCTCACTTGTTTTTGAAAACTTTCGACGCCGGTTATTCTGACTCAATTGATCGCCCCTGGGTCTCCGAGGATGATCCTGCCGCGGTTTATAGTATGTCTGTGAGTTTAAGAAAAGCGAAGATTCTATTTGAGCGGAAAGGCCATAATGATTGAAGCGCGTGCAATTCCGGGAAATATTATTGACGTTTCAAATCCTTTGCTCTGCTAAAACGTTATACTGAAAGGCTAAGAGTACATAAAAATTACAAGCAGTTTCATAATGGTTATAACGAACACGAAGATGGTAGAAACCAGAAAGATAAATGTGGCCAAGATTTGCTTCTGGCGGAAATCTGTGTTGAAAACCGAGATCTATACTAGCAGCCGATAACCCCACTTTTCAGTTGACTGAGGAAGAAAAAGTCAACAAGGAGGTTCATAATGGTAATAACGAACACGAAGATGGTAGAAACCAGAAAGATAAATGTGGCCAAGATTTGCTTCCGGCGGAAATCGGTGGTGAAAACCAAGATCTAGCAGCCGATAACCCTTCTTTTCAGTTGACTGGAGAGGACGAAGAAGATAACGTATACAAAGAGGCTCATAACAGTAAAGAGAAACAGGAAGATGGAGGAATAGATGACGATCAATATGTGGTAAACCCTTTTAAAGGAATTCATAACGAGGGTTTGGAAACTGGTGACGAGGAGTTGCATTCCTCGACAAGAGAAGGCAGCAAACAGCAAAGCCTAAGCGAGAAGCTGGAAAGTGAGCACAATGAAGGAAATAGCGAGGCTATTCAGGCGTCAGATAAAAGTGATACCTTAGTTGAGGTCGCAAAGTTGTAATTGTATTATTTCTGGGTAAATAAGAAAATGAGTTCAAACGCCAATTATTTCTACTTGCTAAGGAGCTAATGTCCGTCATCACTTATATGATACTAATTTTAAAGGCTCGTTTCGATTCACCCCTAGATTTTCAGCTTGTAAATAGCTTACAAGATTGCTTTTCAGCTTATAAGATCGTTTATTATTTAAGTAACCTGTTCTCAGTGAAACTCAGCAGTGTTCTCTGTCATCATTTGCAGAAATACCCCACTGAGTTAAACACGCTGCATTGAAGAACTTGACAGGAGAAATTTGTTTCACAGCGACTCGCATTTTCTCCCCTTTTCGAAAGTGTACTTAATTTTTTGGTGTCATTTACTATAATCATTTCACATTGAGCAATAAGTGGTCGTTGCCTTGCATTAGCCTTATTCGGTATTTAGTTGAAAACCGCTGGGTAAAATTTACATTAATTAACGTCCTTTATTAGACTAAAAGAATGCCTACTACCAAAGTGTCGTTTATTACGAGTGGCATTCGTTCATATTTCAGACCGGGAGGAAGTGGCCGACCGGAATAATATCATTCTATATTGCGTTTCTGGACAAGGATTGTAGAGGTACTCCTTTGTAACAAACCGTAGTTCCGAAAATAAGCCCCGGGGCTTATATTTTTCAAAGCGTCTTTTTGAGGGGCTTATTTTTGGAGGGGCTTATATTCGGAGGGGCTTGTCTAACGCGGAAGTTTGCGTTTCAAAATCGATTGGGCTAGCCTTATAGTTGTAAGGAAATTTACCGTTTCTACTTTCTTTTACTTTGTATTTGAGGGAAATTTCCAAGTACAAGCCCCCGGGGGGCTTATATTTGGAGGGGCTTATTTTCGGAATTTTACTGTATCTTCACGTTAGAAAAAAGTAAGTTGAAATAAGAAGTTTTGGAAATTCTCGACCTTGTAGAACTTCTGTAACTTATCAACCTTTACCTCTACTTTGTACAGTGTAACTTTTCCGGGACATTTACTCTAAGGTACTAATACAACGCAGTTTAACCGCGGTTTATTCAATCAATAAACCTGTAGATCTGTTTTTTGTTTCAATTTTTTTTTAATTATTTCGTTTTATTTTTTTCGATAGTTGTCCCTATTTGCCTTCTTGCCAATGTTAACAACTTATATAATAATCAAGCTGGCACGGTAAGTAGTACCCAAAAAAGTCGACAAATAACGCCTGTTTTAAGAATTATTTTCGAGTTTTAACCTTTTTTTGGCAAAGTGCTCAGTTCAGCATTGCTTCGCTTCTCGCTATCCCAAATAAAGGGTAAAATTCAAAAATAACTCTTTGTTACTGCCGCATTTCTCACCAAATATGTTTATCGCGCTAGTTCTTTGTTTAGTTTTGCACATTCCTTTCACATTCTTGTCAGTTATCGCAATTCCTATTCTGTTAAATTTCTCTGCATAATAGGCCTTATCCGATTTGACGAGTAGGCAACCGCGTGAGAATTTACAGTGTTTGTATGAGAATCTAATGTCCCAAAATTTCCGTAAAACGGCTGTTCTCAAAAAAAATATGAATTTTCACTCCTAACGATTCTTCTGAAAAAATTTGAGGTTTTTACATGCAGCTATATGCGTTCGAACCACTTTTTACAATTTTCTATACATTTACCTGTGAACGTTTCCCGGGAAAAAATTGCAGACAAATATGTGGAA